CTCATTCAAGTGCCAGGCACCCTTTACGCCTTGGGTGTGCATTAACTCATTTAATCTCCACAACAACTTTATGAGGTAGGTTCTTCTGTTACAATTATACCCCATTTTTCAGATGGGGAGCTTATGGCAAAGAGACAAATATGTGATGATGATTACCCAAGTGTTAAATAGCAGGGTCAGGTCTTGAACGTGGGTGAGACTGGGCTCTTCGCCACTGCGTTATTCTACCTCCAGCCCAGAGAGCCTGCTGCTTCCAGGGGCCAAACCCTGAGGTGTCCTCCAATGCCTGTTGTAGCTTGTGGGGGCCCAATAAATGCCACCTCATTTCCATGCCTGAGTTTTGAACCAGCAGAGGACTAGGTATCCGTGTAGAGCAGGAGGGAGTCCAAAATGCCACATTTATTGTTGATAAATCTGATATTGGCTTCTAAGTCCTAGAACTAGATAGATTTTATTATTAAGTGCTGGGGCCAGATGGCCTGAGTTCAAATCTCAACTCCACCCTTACTAGCTGGGAGATCTGCAGCAAGTATTTACCCGTCTGAGACCCAGCTTCCTCATTTGTAAAGTGGGGACAATACTAGCACCCACCTCACAGGGTTGTTGTGAAGATGAAATGAGGTAATAGAAGGAAGCCCTTGAAGTAATTACTGTCATACCAGGAGTTCTCAATCGAGATTGGTTGTTATCATTACCTTTCACCAGCAGTAGTGGCAGGTGGCCCAGGCCCCCTGCAGGGCTCCCTATGGGACCTGCCTCAAAAAACTTGGCAGGAGGAGTAGCAGGTAGATTGCTCCCAGGAGGAAAAAGGAAGAAAAAGACTGGGCTTCGCAGGCCAGGCGCTCTTTACAAATCCACCCAGGGGAGGAGAGAGGCCAGCAGTTGCGTGACTGAAGCCGCCCACCAGACAGAACGACACACATGATCCCCCCACATCTGTCCCCAGTGATACTGGGCAAGAATCACCAGTCTCCCAGAAGCTCTGTTCTAGAAGCCATTCTTCCCCACCCAGGGGTTTGTCCTTAAGAAAATGTGGCTTAACGATTGGGAAGTATTATGTAGGAAGTATTTTTGCTTTCTGCTCCTAGACACAGATCACATTAGAAAAGGGGGAGGAATCAGATTGTTTGGCCTGCAGACGCACTGCACGATGTTCTCTAACAGAGGAGGAGAGGCAGTGAGGTAGCTCAGGTCAGCAGGTGAGATTACAGGTGGCCCGAGTCTATCTTCTTTTAGGGGGAAGGATTGGAAGTGCAGCATGTTATCCTAACTAGAATTATTGCTGGCTGTGAATAGCTCTGCCCTCCTCCTCCTCCTCATCTGATCGGAATAAGTAATACTTTATTGTGAAAAAAATCACATTGGTTTCCAATGATTCTGTGCATTAGATTGTAAAAGCAGGAAGGGCCTCTCATAGGACACAGTCTCCTTTCCAGAATGCTCAAGGCTGGCCCTACACCTCTGGAGCACATGAAAACGTGTGTCCCCGAAGAGTGCTCTCCCTTCAGAAAGTTCTGAAGTCATTCCCGTTTTTCAACTTCAATCAACGTGTGTGACTATAGACAAGTCATTTGCTCTTTCTGGATCTTAACAGATGGGGCTCGAAACACGAGAAAACTCGTGAGCGGTACACAATGTGTTAATCACTTCACCCGTCCGTCTGTGAGGGGGCTAGACCACATCTCTAAGATTCATTCCAACTCTGACCATCTCTAATTCTGTATGCTAATTTATGCTAATAGACCCGATGGGCAGTGTTTTCCTGATCTTAACCTCAGGGGAAAGGTGCATTTTAACCAAGAGTGGGCTTTGCTGCCTGGACCTTTAGCAACAGTAGAAAATTCAGGACTTTTGGCGGTGGTGGGAGCACAGCCTGGGACAGACAGGTGTGTCAGTGCTCCTCATGTCACACTGATACTGACAGTATAACTTTAGGACTGATCTAGAGTTTAGAGTATAGCAGAACCTTAAAACATTTTTATTAATATGTAAGTCTAGCTTTTAAGGCTAAAATCCACCAATGATGCTACTAAAAACAGTATGTTTTTTGGCCTTTTCTCTGCAGCAGGGTTGGAAAACGCTTTTAGGACCTCCCAGCCTTGGCAGGCAGGGCTGCCTTAACTCGCGGGGTCAGCGCCTTCAGATGTGGGGTTTCATTCACCTGAAGCCGAGGACCACCTGAAGGCCTGGCCCGTTGCTGGGTAGGAGGGCTCAGAGATGAACAGGAATGACCCTGCTCTCAGAAGATGGGCAACAGACGGGAGCAAGCTTGAAGGAAGGGATACTTGAACAGAGTTTTGGAGAGAAGGTAAGGAGGAGCAAGTGAGGTGAAAATGAGGGCATTCCAGACAGATGGACAGCCAGCATGAGCAAAGGCCTCCGGGTATGAGAAGACTTGGGACAACAGAGCAGCTGAGTATGTCAGGGTCCAAGGGGAGAGGGTGGAGATGAGATGCACAGGTGGACAGGGCCAGCTTTCGAAGGGCCTGTATCTCCCCTAAGAGGTTTGGACTTATCCTGAAGGCATGGCGGCGTGTGTGTGTGTGTGTGTGTGTGTGTGTGTGTGTGTGTGTGTGTGACATGTCTAGTACCCTAGCAGCAGGGCAGCAACTGGGTTAAAGAATAAAGTTCTTTCAAGTCCTCACTTCTAAACTGAGGGCCCTGGGGCTAGTCCTGGGCCTTACCACAGAGTCATTAGCAGAGGAAAGGAGCCTGTGGAGCACACAAGGTGAGAACAGGGTTGTTGGATATTTCATCTCAGGTTAAAAAGAAAAACATGGCTAATGAATTGCACTGGGCCTCAGCTTAACTTGATCAAACTACTCAATAGCGTTGGGCCTCAGAGTAAGTGGTTTCTCCCTGAACCAGGGGAGCTCCCCTTGCCTTATGGTCCCTGAACATTAGCTCCTGACAGTCACCCTTATTCAATGCCCACCTTCCCCTCGGGACTCCAGGCTCCAGGGAAGCAGGAATTTCTGTCTTCTTTCCTCACTGCTGTCTCCCCAGTTTGGGCTCTAGTCTAGTAGATACTCAGTAAATTTTCTTGAATTAAGAACAAGAGTCATACTGGAGGTTATGATTGAATGTGATTTTCCTTCTGGTAGCTCACTGTAAATGACACCCGGAGGCTGGAAGTGTCTGCTAGAAGAGAAAGGGTTTAAATCGGAGCTGTCATGTGCTCACTGGATATACTCCACTCTGACCTGCCTTTATGTCCTCATTTGTGAGGTGAGGTATATGGACAAAACAATTGCCAGGGTTTCTCCTTCTAACCCTAACATTTTATGCATGAAACAGGAGCCTTTGCCTGCCACTCTCCCCTCTCCGTGGCTTCCATGCTTCAGAAAGACATGGCTGCTGGCAAACCAAAGAACATCATGACTGCCGCCCAAGAAATTGAAGGAATCTTATAAAAGTGCAAGATATTCAAGCACATCAGATTTGGGTGGTTGGAATATGCTCTGGGAAAGGAATATTTATTTTATAGGATAAATTAAACTGAGTTCCAATGACTTTTATAAAAAGCAAAATGTTTTTGAGAGAGAGAGAGAGAGAGAGAGAAGCAGCCCTGCCTCACCGAGGACTGAGCCCGGCGGAGCTGCAGTCAGGCCCCTTCCCCCAGCCCATGTGCACGGTGGAGCTGTGGGAGGTGCTCGGAGGGAGGACTTCTCTGAGGCAAAAACCCAACCAGCAACCAGCAAGCTACTCACTGGAGGTCTCTTCCAGACGAACTGGATGGGAAACTTCTGGCTATAGAAGAGGGAGGTCTCATCCGGTGGGAACTCAGGATCCACATAAAGAACCTTCTTCTCTAGACATTTCTTATGAAGCTGCTCAAATGTCTTCTCTTTCACTCCGATGATAGGAAAATTGCGGCTGATGATGGCTGAATAGATGCCACTTGGGTTAGCGCCCCCGGCCTCAGTGGTCTTGCCCTGGGCCGGGAGGGGAACCGGCCCTGGGGACTTGGGCTCAGCCCCTGTCTGTGGGGCCACAGACGGGCTAATGACTGTGGGCATGGCAGGCAATCGTGGAAAGAAGAGATTTTTAAAGAAAACAAGTTACAGCTACCTTCAAGGAAAGGAAGCAACTGCAAAGGGGAAGTTGGAGTGATTCTGTCATCTGAGAGAAAAATGTCCACATCCAATTCAAAGTTTCAAGCCCGTCAGAAGGTCGTCCAGCTTGCGTTCATCTTAAAAACTGAGCTGTGATCCCGAAGCCATATGTTTTCCTGAGGAAGGAGCAGTGAAGGATTCATGCCCCGATTTTTACCTGGGGGGCTCCTACCAGCAGCATACACGCCAGACGGAGAGAAAGAAAGTGAGGCTAGTGTTTCAGTGGCCTGGAGAAGCTTGAACCAGGAAAACTAAAAATAGACATGAAAAAAGATCCCGGGTATGAAAGCAGGAGTGAGGCTAGCGCGCAGCTCTCCTGCGTGGCAGAGAGAGAGAGACCCGGCGAGGACGTACACGTGCGGCCGTTAAGTGCTGGTGCTGTCAGGGGATGAAAGGGAAACATTTGAGTAAGTTGCACACTGAAAATTAGCAAAGAACTGCTGGGAGCCGGTCCATCCTTGCTGTTTCAAGGGACCTGGCATATATGGCATACTGTTCTTAATATGTTTGCTCATCTTCTTGGCACTATGTGTTTTAACCAAGGTCACCTCTCCGAGAAAGGTGGTTTCCCCACGTAGGGATTTTCCCCTGAAGTTAGGGAGGGAATAAAACCCCTTAACTAAGTGGAAACTGTAGTGTAGAATGTCAAGGGAGGACCCAAAACATACCATGATGTGACTAGAGGCATGCTTATAGGATCAAATGGTATAAATACAGATGTAACAGGAGAATAAAGGGAGAACCTGGCTATGCTGATGAACTGAACGCTGTCTCCGTGTCCTTCATTCTTCGCTAACTCCGTCCACACCTTTGGGGACTCCTGGACCTGCTGGGGTTGGACCCCAGCATATAGTTGGCCATTATACAGACCATCAAACTACTGGCTACCAAATTATTGGAAAACTTTATTGAAAAAAAGCTAACAAGAGTGAGATGCTCAATTCTAGGAGAATAGGCATTTCTAAGGACATCAATTTTACTCACTTTCTAAAACTCTAGGATATCAGAACATTTCAATTGGATTTGGTATATCTTCTGGAATGTTCTGGTGTCAGCATTGAGTGGAGCTATCTGAGTGGAGGACTCGGCAGAGTCCTTTCAGTTGTCTCTTCTTGCCCACTTGACCTAGCCACCTCTTGTCTATCCCCACCCCCAAAATAAACACGGGGACCACGTCTGTTACAAAAAGTGCATCTGAATAGACATTATCCAGGTACACCACATCAGTCATCTGAGTCAGGGTTAGATACTGAACCAGGCTGGTGGTCAGGTTCCGGCGTGTCGTACGGAAAGAGTTGGTCTCAGGGCTCTTAGATGAGAGTGCAGTGGCTCTGGGGAAGGGAAGTGCCTGCCTGGCCTCCGCCTTGTCTTTAACCCACAGTGACTGCTGCTCAGACTGTAAGGAGATGGCTACGTTCCAAGGGTGGCTCAGTGGATGCTTGCCCCAGACTGCAGCCCAGCCTGTTCCCCGAGGTCAGAGGCTATGAGGGAAGGTGGGGAGCGACAGCTGCAATCGGAGTACAACCAGGCTCTTGATCGCTGGGGTTGCAGTTTGGAGGATCCCTGTGTCTGGAGTCGCACCTGTAGGAACCATCTGCCTATCCCCCTGGCCCTCTGAGGAAATGCCCGGAGACCTCTGCTCTCTTGGAGAGGCAGAGAGAGGAGGGCGGCCTCTGGATGCTGACTGCTGAGGTGCATGCCTGGGCCTGCTGCTCACTGGCTGTGCCTGTGTAATGTTAGGTGACTTATTTCTTCGTTTCCTATGTCTCATTTTCTCACCTATAAAATGGGAATAATAATAGTCATTCTGCTATGCAGTTGTAAAAATTAAGTTAATTTATGTAAAACATGTAAAATAGTGTCAGCATTGTCTTAAGCACTCAATAAATGTTGTTAGAGATGACCTGCATTTAATAGTACTTTGAGGTTAGATGAGGTTGAGTGACAGCCATTCATTGGTGCAAATCAGCACTCACTCTATGAGCAGGAACGTCTTCCACGTGTACAGCACTGGGATGGGTGCAGTCTGCCAGGATCTGTGGTCGCAGGTCTCCAATCAGAGGCATGTCTCTCAGCCGGCACTAAAGGAGCCTCTGAAAAGAATGTCTTCCACCCTCAAACTCACCAATGGCATGGAAGGCAAAGAGGGGTGGGGTGGGTAGTTTTCTTCTCCATCATCATACATTTGAGTCCCAGCTCAGTGCTCTGCCTGTCCCACCTTGAAATTCACAGCAGCGACCCACATTTTATTGTTTCTGTTTATTGAGCTTCCTGTCTGCCCATAAGACTGTAAATTCTGTGAAGGTGGGAACGGGTCCCTATTCCACCCTCAGAGTTAAGTATATGTAGAAGGCTCTTAATAAATACGTGTTGCGTACCTGCTGAATGAAATTTCCGTATGTGAGGAGAGATTTCTTACATTTCTTTTTTTGTTTTTTTGTTTTTACTTTATTGTTTTAAGTATTACCAATTTCTGATTGCTTCGCCAACACATGGAAGTTTCTCGGCTGATACGCCCCTGGTTGGCGGATAGCCTCCCATCCTTGC